TTTTTAATTTTATATAAAAAATAAAATGGACGTAGTGCAACGGTAATGAACAGAATGTAGGCCTGTGAGTATTTTACATAAACGACTAGAGTACTCAAAAACTATATAGGAGTACTCGTTAAACACTCATTATTTTAAGGCAAGTACTCGATGGTTGTACTCAGATTCTAGCGCGAGTACTCAATAGTCGTACTCATATACTCAAATTCTAGCACGAGTACCGCTAGTGAGTACTCAAAAGCCTTGAGTACTCATGAGTTCTCGCGGCATTTTCTAGCGTGAGTACTTTTTGAGTACTCTCTTGATGAGTACCTTCACTAGGGTATTTCCATAGGAAATTTTTATTCGGTACTCTTGGATTAGTTATTAGCTATCTATTATTAAATAATTGAGATTCTCTACCATTGCAACAAAATAATTAACAGTTTTCTCATCTTCGTTTTTTTTAAATGAATGTGAAAAAACGTTTCTTATTTCTTGGTCCAACTGGAGTTGGAAAATCTTCATTGATCAATGTTCTCTGTAATGATGATGTTAGAAAAGAATCTATGAATGCACCAGCTACAATTGGCTCAACAACTAGTGGTGTTACACAAAGTTTTACTACTTATTATGACAGTAATAAGTATGCCTATACAGATTCTATTGGCTTTGGTGATACTAGATTTACAACAGACGAAATAGTTACATTGATAAAACAATTGATTGATAATGCTGTCATTGGTTATAACAAAATTTATTTATGTATTCAATATGGAAGAATATCTATGGATATTTGGCGATATATCGATTTAATTATTTCTGTTTTTGGTGAAGACGGTTTAAAATGGTGTACAATTATTTTTACACATTGCAACGAAGAGAATATGAACACTGAAATGTTTTTAAATATAAATAAGAATGATGAAAAAATGATTCAACTTATGGATAAAGTAGGAAATGTAATATTTGGTGATCTTCAAACACATAGCAATCAACAAGTAGATTGTCTATTGAAAGATATACGAAAACGTTTTTTAGATAATGTTAAATTTGATGTAACTAGGGGTGTCGTCTTAGCATTAGTATTGCATTAATTAATACTATTTTTAATACTTTTGTATTAAAGTTAAATAACTCAGTTAATACTTTTGCATTAGTCTTAAAAAAATAACTTAATGCTTTGGTATTAGTGTTAACTTTGTATTAAGAAAATGCTAATACCTATCATGATCATGCAATTAGTTTATGGATCTATCATTATAGTTTTACCACTAGCTTCTCTATAGTTGAATTTTCTTTATAACATTTCTATACAGAGAAAATGTTATGTATGCATCAGGATGACAGACATGTATATTTATAGTTCTTCAGAAAACAAATAATTTTATCAAATATCGATATTGTAAAAGGGAAATTCAATCTATGCGTCATTTAGAACGGGAGCATCGAATCAAGTTCTAAGGCTGTCCATTCGATAGATCCCGTTGAGATGTACAGGGTGGCGCAAAAGTCACTTTACCCAAAAAAAATTGAATATCTCCATTACGGTTTGAGCAAACGAGCTGATTTTTTTATCAGTGATAGAGGCATGTACCAAGTTTGTATCCATAAAGACATGCCTAGAGGAACCCTTTGTTAAGTATATTGTTTTTTTCTCCTATCTGTCAAAAAGTAAAACTTTTTTTGTTGAGATCAATAGTGATACTTAACAAAGAGTCTCTCTAGGCATGTCTTTATGGATATGAAGCTTGAATATGCCTCTATGATTGGTAAAAAAATCAACTTGTTTGATCGAGCCGTAATGGACATATTCAATTTTTATTTTGGTAAACTGACTTTGGGGCAACCCTGTATATGACCCAAAAGTGACGATAGCAAGAAAAAACTAAATATCTCCGCTACGGCTCGAGCAAACGGACTGATTTTTTT